TTTGATTGCTGCTGTGGCAGGTCTCAATTTTCTCCTCTTCCCCCCTCCCCCACTTCTCTTTCTCTTTTTTCTTGTAGTAAACATCACTGTTGAATGGGGAATGGGCTCCTCTGTGGTGGGTGGCAGTGCTGGTTATTCCCACTCTTTCTCCCACAGCCTTTTTTCTAATGCTGATACCTTCCAAAGTTCCAGCTGCCACTGTCAGCTCTTTATGTCACAGCTGCTTTTTTTCCTTTGGGCAGCCCAGCCATGCAGATGTAGGAAGCACGAAAGCTATTGGAGCTATTGCTGTCCAGTTTCCATTACATTCTCCACTGAGGGGATTATTGTGGCCAACACATGTCTTCCTCTAGCTCATCTCAGGCACTTTGGTGACGCTGAGTCAGGAATTAAGCCAGCTATTGCCCAATTTACATAACACCTATGCTGGAATGGGAAATGAATACTGAGATAAAGCTTTTGTCGCTAATACGTTGTAACAGTGGTTGCTAACCAGTGGGCTGGGGACCATTGGTGGTCTGCAGTGAAATGCCCCCCCCAAAGTACCCCCCAAAGCAATTAATCCAGGCTGTGCGGGAACACAAGGCTGCGCCACCCTCATGACCTGCCCACCCGCTGGCCCCCACCCTTCGGCCGAGAGCAAACCTTACCTTGAGTAGAGCCACGCAAGCTGGAACTGGAAGGTAAGATCAATAGCGGGGGAGGGAAATCCGCCCCGGGATGGCTTTCTGACATTGGTGGGAAAGTCAGTCCCATATTCCAGAGCTGCAGTAGTTACAAGACTGGCCCTTTAGTCATCTCAGAGCAGTTCCTCCAGTCCATGGCAGGCCGGTGCACCTGGGTGGAGGAGGAGCTGCTCTGGGATGACCTGTGACTACTGCAGCTCTAGAATATGGGACCAATTTTCCCACCAACGTCAGCAAGCCACTGCCAGTCAAAATTCATATTAATGGTCCGCGGGATTTAAACTTATGAGTTTGGTGGTCCCTAAGGTCCAAAAGCGACCCCTGCTTTGTAAGGCTAATAACTTCTTTTCTACTTTGCGGTTCTTTAAACTGCAAGAGATGTTCTATCTTACTTTAAAGAATGGGGCAACAGGATTGGAGGGTGTATGCCCAGACCATCTTCTCCCAGCCATTTAGGGCCCATTTATTATGCAGGTGGTAGTCCTTGACTTACAACAGTCCATTTAGTGACCATTCAAAGTTATGTCACTGAAAAAAGTGACTTATGACCATTTTTCACATTTATGACCATTCAGCATCCCCATGATCAAATGATCAAAATTCCAATGCTTGGCAATTGACTCATATTTATGATGGTTGCAGTGTCCTGGAATCATGTGATCAACTTTTGCAACCTGACAAGCAAATTGGGGAAACCAGATTCACTCAACAACTGTGTTACTTTAGGAGTGCAAAGAGCACAATGGTTTGACTGTCTGAATCTGTTTTTGTGGACATTGTGCTTACTAATAAGGAGAAGTTAGTTAATTACGCGTCTTCAGGTTGTTATCAATTCCTATGGACCACATAGGTGGATTTCCTTCATGGTGATCCCTACCCTGCTTTTTCAAATGTTCCAACAGTGCACTCATTGCCGCTGTGATTGAATCAATTCATCTGGCTGCTGAATGTGCTTTTCTTTTCTTTTTTTTCTTCCAACATTCTTAGCTCTGGAGAGCCTTCATTTTTAGCTTTATTGAGGCATCTGGGTTTCTTTGTTTGATGATCTGTTTGTATTCTTGGCTATCCACAATATTCTCAGGAAGCTTCTCCAATACCAAATTTCTAATTAATGCTTTTTTCATTCTTTTCAAAAGACACTTTTGCTTTTAAGAGATGACTTACTTAACAATTGCATCACTTAGCAACCAAAATTCAAGTACCAGTTGTGGTCCTAAGTCAAGAACTACCTGTATTACAAGATCCATAAATATTTTTGGATCGTGTAATATTTTTTGATCTTATAGTAGTATATTTTTGGATAAATATCCATAAAGCACCTTTAAGACAACCATGACCTGGATGACTGAGAATCTCTACAGACTTTTTAGCTGTACAGTTTGGGATAAACACCCTTTAAATGGTGTGGGCGTAGGAATGGATTTCCAGAGGAAAAATTGCAGATTACAGGAACCAGGAGCACTACTCAGGTTACCCTGAGGACACAGATAAACCTCCAGGTGCTTCAATGACCATCTAAAAGGATGCAAATGACCAGCTGTCTGCAAGGAATATAAATCCTTCCATTCCCCACTATTCTGTCAAAACTTAAGAAGCTTCTTGGATGAGAAGCAAAACGTCTTCAAAAGAAAAGGCAAGAAAGTCCAATTGCTTCCTGAAAAAGCATCTTTGAGACATCCATAAATATTCTTTGCTACCGCCAACCTCAGTTATCTTTTAAAGCATGTTCTGCAGATATTGCTCATGACTCTCAACATACTTCTAAATTAGTTTTTCAAACTAATATTAGTTATATACAAATTTTCAATCATTTATGAAGGGTCAGTGGACCTCATAATACATTATTTAACAATTCAGTTATAATATAAAGTCAGGGGGAAGGAACAGAAATATGAACAATTTGTTATATTTGCCAATTTGGATAAAAATCCAAGTTGGACGAACTTATAGGTAGTCCTCTTGAGCCCCAAATTTTTGTTGTTAAGTGATGTAGTTGTTAAGTGAATTTTTCCCCATTTCATGATCTTTCTTGCCACAGTTGTTAAGTGAATCACTGCACTTGATAAGTTAGTAACCCAGTTGTTAAGTGAATCTGACTTCTCCATTGACTCTGCTGGTGGGAAGGTTGCAAAAGGTGATCACACGACCTTAGGACACAGCAACGGTCATAAATATGAACCAACTGCCATGCATCTGAATTTTGATCACATGATCATGGGGATGCTTGCAAAGGTCGTAACTGTGAAAAATGGTCATAATAATTTTTCAGTGCCATTGTAACTTTGAACTGTCACTAAACGAACTGTTGTAAGTTGAGGTATAGGTATGGGATCATAATGATAATACCATATTTGAAAGGCAGGTTTTTTTCCAGGATAGACAATGCAAGTTTTCCGACATCATAAAAACAAACAGCTTAAAATATGATCTGTTCTGTATGCCTAAGAACTATTGTAGTAGTTTCCACTTCCAATATATTTTAAGGAAGGTTTTCTACTGCAGCTTCAACTTAGTTATTCTAAACTTCACACCACCTAGAACTGATATCAGATTGGTTTTCAGTTAACTTGTTTTCAGCAACCCAGAATGTTATTTTTCTCTACTGGTAAATATTGGCTGCATAGCTGGGGGTGGGGGTTGTTGTTAAATTGTGTGAATCAATCTCCAAATTTGTACTCTAAAGTTAATATGCACATAAACAAGTTCATGAATGTTCTCCTTATCTTCTGTGTATATGATGGTGTATATAAACCCAGTACAATTTGCTTCCACTCATACAAAATGCTATACCATATCTATTGATTGCTATTTTGTGTGTCTCTAGTATGTCAGACTAAGGAAGGCAAGCCGACATCCAAATTGAGTACAAGGTTAGATAAGTGGGATTTTTATTTTTTCTTCCTTAAAGAAATATCTTAGAGAAGCTTTGATTTCATATATACTTTAGAAAGATTAATAAACAATTGTTAGAACTATGAAATGACATAAAGTTGAACAAAATAGACTGTCTGTAAATTTACACATTATAATATAGTTATATGATCTTACAAGTATATCAACACTTGCCTTATATAAAAGTTAACTTCACAATCTCCACATATCACTACCTTTATCCATTGTGTAACTTGATCGTGAATTTAAATTGATTAATTGTATAGTGGTATCCTGTTTATTTTAGTTCTATTAGACTAATGCAGTAAATTTGCATTATTATCAATGGATATATTTGGAGTAATACAAACAAATAAATATAAAAGAAAATTATTTGGCTCTCTCTATATATTGTGTGTCTGTCAGTCCTCAGTATCTTTAAAAAGATAAGAAAAGTATTTTTGTCAAGGTCTAGATATAAAATACTGGCTAAATTTTAGTGTATAGTTAAAAATACCATCTTGGAATGTATTTGGGCATGCATAATACAGTATATTACATTATTATATTAAATGTAATTACTTTTCAGTATTGCAGTAATTGGTAGCATAAATGGGATTTAATCTTTTATTGTTTGTGGTGTTTTCTTCAATTAACTTGAATTAGTAGGGTGTAATTTCCACACATTTACAGTACCTTTATTTCAGAGAAAACAAAACATACAGTATAGCATTGTAACCCAACAACTTATACAGACATAAACAGCAACAGCACTTTTTGTTGTATTGTTAAATGCTAGTAGAAAAAGATATGTACACCACAGCTTCAATTTTGTTTTCGATTTACACACAAAGAATTAGCAGAAGGGAATCCAGAGCTGTGCTATTTATTACATGAATAATTTAGCTTCATTATTCTGTGTATTCCTTTGCACTGATGCTAGAGTGAGAGTTGCATCAGCATCTTTCCACAACCTGGTCTTCATCTACTAAAACTTTCTAGTTCTTATGTTAACAGTTTCACTCTGTCATGGAAGTGAGTGAAACCATGTGTAACAGGTATGCATATCAAATAGCCATGCTCAGGAAGAGGCAACCTATGCAATATGGGATATTGGAATCATATGCAAGCTAGTATGCTTCAAGTCAGGTTTCACAGAGCCGAATATGAGCTAGGTGAGAGAAATTAATTATATAGGATATATTTGAATGTTTAAACATAACCTATATTTTAAGCTATAGTTTAATACCTGTGTGATATCATGTATGATTATATTTTTATTATTTGATCATCAGAATTGTGACAATGACTTTTTTTTACATATAATAGGTATAAAATATTTAACCAACAATGATCTTAAATTGGCATAGCTTTTTATATACGATTGCAGTGTGCTTTGCAGGATACAAAAAAGCTTATATGTTTCTGGTTTGTGGCTTACAGATCTTTTCTGTTACCAACAACACAGAATGTGTGAAGCTGCTGCAGGAAATCAGATGCGCTCACTGTTCACCGAATGCTCAGAATCTGTTCCACTCAACTGCGAAGGAAACATTGGAAAAGGAACTAGCCCTTCCTTTCCTGTGCAAGGATTATTGCAAAGAATTCTATTACACTTGCAGAGGTCACATCCCAGGTAAAATATTGCAAAGAATAATAAATTGAGGTGATATATATCTACCGTGACCATATGTCCTTTATTATAAAGGACAGTCTTTTATTTCATAAAGTCCTCCTTTAAATGTATTTATTTTTTAAAAACTCATTTTTGTCCTTTATTTTGATATTTAATATTCACTGTACAAGTGGTACCACTTAATGCAGTTTTTCACATTCATGTGAAAAATATGGTAATTGAATTATTTTAAAATGCACTGTTCGATTTTAGATATTATTATTAGAATATGTGAATTTGTAGTTTTTATTAATTCTGCTGTTTGTAAAGCCAAGTTATCAATATAAACATTTTTTTATTCTTAGAAGGCCCTTTCAGATTTGCCGCTTTTTCAAATTTGTCCTTTGTATTTTACAAAAAAAATGGTCACGATATGTTTACTTAAATTTCTTATACATTGTAAAAAAAAACATTGATGTAACACTCATGTTCTTTATCAAGAAAGTACTGATTGTGAATATAAAACGTTACCTAGATCTGTGTTTCTTAACCAAGGATACATATATTTTGGTGGGTACAAAAGCAGTTTAGTGGAACATAAAGCATTAGACCAGTTTATTTGAGAGAGTGTCTATTCTCCATGGAACTGTTCCGAGTATCCAGGTCAGGGAAGTGCTTCCGTCTGTTGTCCAACAGGCTGAGCCAATTTTCTGAGGACACTCCCACTTGCCATTTGTCCCCAGTTTAGCGCAGCCTGTCGTTCGAGTTAGATTTATGTAAATACTCTACATAAATGGCCTCTGTGATCATATTAAGAGCAACTGCGTTCTCTTCGCTGATGATGTAAAACTATTCAACACCACAGACAATACTGCTACCCTTCAAAAAGACCTTGACTATCTATCAGAATGGTCAAACAAATGGCAACTTCAAATCTCAGCAAACAAATGCTCTGCCTTACATATTGGCAAAAAAAATCAGAAAATAAAATACAAGCTGAATAGTCAAGACCTTGTTGATGATCCAAACTCTGTCAAGGACCTTGGAGTACTCATCTCTAATGATCTAAGTGCTGGAGCCCACTGTAACTACATAGCCAAAAAGGCATTAAGAGTTGTTAACCTAATCCTACGTAGCTTTTTCACTGGTAATATCACACTACTAACTAGAGCATACAAAACATTTGCTAGACCAATATTTGAATATAGCTCATCAGTCTCGAAACCGCATTACGTATCTGATATTAACACAGTTGAGAAAGTCCAGAAATATTTCACAGGAAGAGTTCTCCGCTCCTCTACTCATTGCAGAATACCTTATGCCACCAGACTTGAAATTCTAGACCTAGAAAACCTAGAACTATGCCGCCTTCGGTCCGATCTAAGTATAGTATATAAAATCATACATTGCAATGTCCTACCTGTCAATGAATACTTCAGCTTCAATCATAACAATACAAGACCACACAATAGATACAAACTCAAGGTAAACTGCACCAAACTTGATTGCAGGAAATACAACTTCAGCAACAGAGTGGTCAATGTCTGGAATACTCTACCTGACTCTGTGGTTTTTTCCCCAAACCCCAAAAACTTTAACCTTAGACTGTCTATTATTGACCTCACCCCTTTCCTAAGAGGTCTGTAGGGGGCGTGCATAAGTGCACCAACGTGCCTACCATCCCTGTCCTATTGTTTCTTTTTATTTTTCTTATATGTATCCATTTCATGTATTCATAATTATGTTTATACTTATACCTATTATCTTGTAAGCAACTGACAAATCAAATAAATAAATAAATAAATAAATGTGAGCTTTTTGCTGACCGCGATCTTCAGAAAGCCTCAAGAGAAAGCCAGTCGGTTTTTTTCGCATTTTCTTTTCCCTTTAAACAAAAAACGCTGTCAACCGACAACAATCAACAGCTGATTGTTGGTTATGGCAGGTCCTTATGAGGACCTGAGCAGTGCGAAGAGCGGGAGCTCAATTCCGCTGCCAAAGCCTTTCTTTTTTAAAAAAAATTGCAGGTTTCAATCACACAGCTGACTAGCAGGAAGCGAAGTAGCGCTGTCCCACTCCTCTGTTAATTCTCGTAGAGCATTTAACAAGAAATTCTTTGCTCGCTTCACTGACAGCTCCCTGACCATCCAAGACTGTTTGAAATTTGCGCCGGTGGCTCATAGCAGCCAGCACCATTTTAGATCAAGCCTTTGCGCCAAAAGTCAAATGGCGAAGGCCCTCACAGTCTACTGATGTTTTTCTCCTTCAGCTCAGCTATCATCCCCTGTAACAGGATTCAGCTTAGAGAGTTTGATTCACTCAGGCTGGTGCATTAGCTACCAAAAGGAATTTTTCTCTTTATTTTCCTTTTTACTTTCAAACCCGAAGCCATCTGGATGATTGACAGTTTGCACCCAGGCCATTGCCAGCCTGCACCTTTTAAGCTGCCTTGAACAACAGACTTAAAATTCATGGAAGCCACAGGCTGAGGGCTAATTTGAATTTTTGGAGCCTCAGCCTTTCCAGGTCAGCTTGAAACTTATTCAGGTATTGTTTTTTTTATTTTTCAGAAATTAAATTTTATTTTTAAAATTGAAAAAAAAGAATTTTTTTTTGGTCAATTTAAAAATTATTATTTTTTCCTACAAGACTAATTGACAGGAATCTCTGCCCGCAATTTGGAGCAGTCCCACGTGGAACAGGAGCCAATAATTTATCCATATATTACGTAAGCACACCTGTTTCCAGGCATGCAATGGAAGGAGAAGGCTCTGTTTGCTCCAGTGAGTCAGGATCCAGATTATCTTTTAGAACAATGACTAGAAATAAGACTAAGGCTTCTCACTCCAAGAAACCCTCGAAGGCACCAGAAAAATATGAAAAACGCCACCAAAGGGCTTTTGAAAAACATTTGGAGAAGAGTCTTTGGGAGGCTGCAAGAAATCCACAACCAGTCTCCCCAGTGATGGCAGCACCTGGGCCCTTTTTAGCCCTTCCTTTAGATCTTTTGGTCAACAACAGAGGTGGTGACAACCTGAGAAGCCTACCCTGGTCACCAAGAGGAGCATCTGAGGCCCTTGTTACTCACACCCTGAGACCAAACATCAGCACTGTGAGTGTTTCAATGCTCCTAGTTGATATGTCAGCAGGGAGCCAGTTTCAGCATGCCAAGAGACCCAGAATTGCGCCTGAGGTGACATTCACTCAACTGCTGTGGGGCTCCTGGCAGAAGAAGGTCTTCCTCATGAGATTCCCCCCTTCATGAGGTTTTGAGGTCAGAAGCAATCAGGCAGGGGACTGCCGAGGGTGTGCAACAGACCTGTCAGATGAGGTCTCAACAACAAGGGCACCCTCAACCTAGGCAGATCAGAGCGAGCCTCCCTGATTTCCAGGTACCAACCCAAGACCTGCAACCAATGATAAACCTACCAGAGTTTCTGACACAACCTCATCCCGTACACCACAAGGCAGAGGGCCAAGGTCATTATTTCCCTGTTTCATCAGTCGATTCTGACTTCTCCTTGTCAGAGGAAGAGGGACAACTACACAAGGACATGTCAGAAGATGAGGGGCTTGTCCCAGAACAGCTTACATTCATTCGATTGTTCCGCCCTCAATTCTTCAAATCTCTGTTGTTCAAGGCCAAAAACATGCTCGCCTTGGCAACCCTTCCACTCCCTCAGAGACCATCTTGAATGTGGCAGAGTCAGATGATTTGGTTTTTTCCAAGCCAGTAACGAAGACTGAAGTCATACCAGTCCCAAAGATGTTCGTAGATACGGTCAAGCAACAGTGGGTTTCCACAGGCTCCTATCCCAACCCCACAGCAGGTCCTAGCAGCTTTTTCCACCTTGCCCATCAATAAGAGGGCGAAGTCGGCACTCTGTAGGGCTCACCAGGTGGACGCCTGGGCCGTTAGGGCGACAACAGCTGCATCCTTTTTCACCCACAGCTATGCCACTTGCAGGACTCCATCCCGACTGATAACACTAGGGCCACCAAGACGTAGCGAAGATTGTGGCGGCCATGGAATTCTCTACTGATGCTATTCTCAACACTGTTAAGTTCTCAGCCCAAGATATAGCCTCCCAAGTTACAGCCCTCTGCCTGCTGTGGCTCCGCCATTGGCAGGTGGATACCAAACATAAGTGGAAGTTGGCATCCGCCCCATTTGATGGGACAAAACTGTTTGGGTCAGCCTTGGACCCTGTCCTGGTAGAGACACAGGACAAACACAAAATATTGCCTCCCCAGTCATGGAGATCAGATAACCACCCAGTCCATTCCTTTCGGAGGACTCCCTTTTGAGCCCACTATCGAGGAAACTATTTTCACAGAACCCAAAAGCCCTTAGGTTTCAGACAGGGACAACAGACTGATAAAGCAGGGTTTAGAGATAGGTTCAGGTGTGGAACCCAAGCCAAAAGGCCATTTCGTGGAACTGGCAACAAGTCATTCTGTTGCCCCAAATGAATACCTAACCAAACCCCCCAGTGGAGGCCAGCTGGCCTTCTTTGCTGATCAGTGGTATAACATTACCTCGGATGCCTGGGTCTGAGAGACCATAAGATCAGGTCTCTCCCTGGAGTTCCTCTTCACACCCCCAAATTTCTTTATGCCATGCCCCATTTCAAGGGATTCCACAAAGTGAGATCTCATGGAGACCGCAATCTAGCATTTACTGGCCATCCATGCCATTCATCCGGTCCCAACACATCAACAGGGGCGGGGGTTCTATTCCCTCCTCTTTGTGGTTCCAAAGAGTTCGGTGTGTGTGTGGAGAGCGATTCTAGACCTAAAGTGTCTAAACCACTTTTTAGTATACAGGAGGTTCAGAATGAACTTCACTGCAATCTATCCTTCTAAATATCAGGCAGGGAGATGTCTTGACCTCAGTGGACCTGGCAGAGGCATATCTACATTTCCCTATAAGGCCCTCGCACAGAAGATTCCTGCAGTTTTGCTATGCCAACTGCCCAATGGTGGGATTCAAATATTGTTGCCACTGGTTCAGTGGGCAT